CCTCCCTTGAAAGACTTTGCTGGATGTGAATGAGCAGAATTCACAGTCAATTAATAAAAGGGTTTTTGTCGGGACAAGGAGTCGGCTTCAGGGACTTGGGAAGCCCCGGTCAGAACACCACCAAGAAATCAAATAGCGTAGCCGTAGATTCTAGTTTATTGTGAAATATAATCTATATTTTATAATTAACTTTATATTTATATATAAAGCACCAAGGACCCCTCACATAGTAATTACTTTTCAAGAATTTCGATATATTTGTCATACTAGGATCAGTCAGGAATATTTGATTTATCGCAACGATATTTCTCTGGAGCACAAAATTACTCCAAATAGTACTTAGTCCTCAACTTACAACAGTTCATTTAGCAACTGTTCAAAGTTACGAACAGCACTAAAAAAAGGGACTTTGGTGCATTTTTCACACAACTGTTGCAGCATCTGTGGTCACATGATCAAAATTTAGGCACTTGGCCACTGAATCGTATTTGTGACGGTTGCAGTGTTCCAAGGAAGGTCGTAAAATGGGGCAAAGCTCACTTAGTCAATGTATTTGTATTTATTTGTCTTGTATGCTGCCCACTCCCGAAGGACTCCCGGCGGCTCATAATAGACACTGTCTCACCACTTAGCAATAGACAATGTCTCACCACTTACCACTCACCACTTAGCAATAGTTGGGCTTAATTGTGGTTGCAAGTCGAGGACTCCCCGCGCAGCTGACCAAAAATTATATAAAACATTGTATTAAAAGGACGACAGAATTTCTTGCGACAAACGGTTGATTCTTGAGTGTTAATTTTAAACTTGTTGCTGTGTAGATTTTCCAGGATTGGCAACTCACAATTTCACAATTCTTATTCCACTCTCTTTTCACGCCTAGCGTTAACATGTGCTTTTGTCGTCAATTTTCAAATTAAAGAAACAGAAGTTAAGGCTTAAAAAAATATTTATTGTATCAAGTGCAATATATATATGTGAACCATAAAAGATAAGAATTGTGTCCAAAGAAAGTGCTTAATATTCAGATGTAATCATGCTAGGAAAAAAAAAAGATTTCACCATTAGCACCACCAAATACTGAATTCTGCTAAGGCACAAATTAAGAAAGCTGCTTTTTAAAAAAATTTGGCTTAAAACAGCAGGCTTTGAATCCGCTACAATTCATTCTTGCTTCAAGTCATATATTTTTTTTGTCTGGAATGAGAACATTTAAAAGTCAAAACAAAACAGAACTGAAATTGTGACTCCTTCGGCCACAAATGTTAGCGATCTTATTTTACCCTGAACTATTCTAGTCTCTTTTATAAAAATAAAATTAAAAACCTGACATATATCTACCACATTATAGAGTTATGTGATAACATAAAAATTAAAATTAGATTTATTCCTGCTCCTAAATTAATAGCTATGGAAAGTATCCAGCATTGTTTCATAACATTAATTTACTAATTTTAAATACACCGTATAATGCTACGGTCAATAAAATACATTCAAAAATAACTGTTGCTAAATGGAATGTGGCATNCGGAAAGTTAAAAAAAAAAAAGTTTCCATTGTTTTCTCTCATTCTTAGGAAACTTGGCAAAGGGCTGTCCTTATTTCCTGACCCCCCCCTGATCGCAAACCACACACAATTACAAACACTTTGCAAAAATGGCCGCAGGAATGTGTCGTGGCTACTAAAACCGGAAGGACTCAGATCTCGGAGATATACATTTCTCTTACCTTCAACAAAGGACCTTACTCAAAACCTGCGAGCCTCTCTATCAAAACCTCCATAATTCATTCACGTTGGCTTCGATTTTGGGGTCCTTCCACAAGGCACCCCAGGGGGGAAAAACTGACCCAAACTCTTTCAATTAATAAAAGCAGATGGGCCCCGTTGGCTCAGCGCGGCCAAAATCTCAAGACTCTGCTAACCAACACACACGCCTTGTGACTTAGGCTACAAATTTGATGCTGGTCTTCGCGCAGGTGAAGTGAACACCTTACCACTCTCTCCCCTAACTGAGGTTTTACAAACTCGTCTCCCAAATCCAACTGACCACTTGCTCTATGCCATGCTACAACTTTACACCTCCAATTAACCACGTTCCCCTTATTGCCTCTCGGCATCCCTTCCTTCCGTTTCTCAGAGCACGACCCTGATCGACCTCTCTCTCTCTCTCTCTCTCCCCCCACTTCCTTGCTCTTGTCAGTGACGGAATCCGACATAAATCGCTCCCAATCCCGTGGACGTTTTTATGGTTTTCATTCAAACTTGGATCCGTGAATATGATTTCTGAACACCCTCGTCTTCTTCTAATGACCCCATCATCCCTTGTGGAGGGGAGTCTGAGCAACTGAATGAAGCTGAGTTTTTTACTGGCCGGATGCCTTTCGTGTCACCAGAGCGGAGTTTTCTTCAGCAGATAATATTCTCAGCGAGAACAGAGAGAGAAATATCTGCCTCTACCTAGGATCCAACTCCTATCAAACTCCTCATTCTGAGGTGAGAGCTCCACCTCTCGGCCACCGCACCGATCTATTTCTGAACATTCTTCCGGAACATTCTGGAACATCTATCTTAAATCACCTTTACGCAAGCAATATAAAGATGAATAAGCAACTCCCCCCCCCTTCCCCACAGGATGGCTGTGGGGCCTTGCAGCTTCAATTCCCAGTTTCCTGCTTAAGCAGGGGGTTGGACTAAAAGACCTCCGAGGAGGTCCCTTCCGTTCTCCTGTTAAAAGCGGCGTAAACTACTTTGCCGTGGAATCCCCAGCCCCACTTTTGCGGATGCCACACAGGGGGGCGGGAAAGAGGGGAGCAGCCCTCTTTCGCGAAAGAGGTGGCACGAGAAACAGATGCTACAGCAGAGTTTCCAAAAAATTTAAGGAGTCTTTGCAGTTGCTCCTCACAGGCCCGTTGGCATCCTGTACCCCGAGTGAAAATGTAAAAACCTGGTTTTGCGGCGTGTCCCGTCGGCCCCCTCCGCCTTGCCCCAGGCTAAAGAATTTGGACTGCTTCTAAACGGTGTCACCCTCCCACTCCGTCAAAGGCCAAGATTCCTCCCCAATCGTGGCTGAAACGCCAACCCGGGCCAAAATTAGCCACGGCACCCCAACAAGGTCGGCTCGCCGCCCTCACGAGACGCGAGGACGGCTTGTTTGCAAAGGTGGTTTGGCTCGTTTCCATGTCCATTGATTTCTCGGCGAACTCCGCTCGGGTTGGGTAGGCAGGAATTGCAAGCAGAGAAGCCGTGTATCGCTCAATGCTGAAGGAAAAAATTATTTTGCGGAAGGACGACCATATGGGGGTCGTTGGCTTTTTTGCACCAATCAGGACTTCCGTTTACATGCTCAGCAGAAAGAGAGTTCAAATCTGGAGGGCTCCCTCTGCAGAGCTGATTCCTCCCTCTGGTTAAGGGAGGTCTTCTTTGGGGGCGGGGGAGGAGAAGGGAGGGGGTTTCAGGTTATGGAATTTTTCTTCTTGCAGAAGGGCGATTTCAAGGTTTTCCAAACGCTCGGACGCGGCTTGGACTTCTTCTCCAGCGCTGTGACGATTTCCTTCTCCTTCCGCCGGATTTCACGGACGAGGGTGTGGAAGACGTCGTCGATGTAGTAGCGGAAGGCAGCGGAGGTCTCAAAAAAGGGGCAGCCGAACTCCTGGGCTAAGGCCGAGCCTTCGTCCTTGGAGACCTTCGGGGCAAGAAAGCGCAGGCGAGTGGGGACAGTGAGGGAAATAAGGGCAAGTCCTTGACTTACGGCAGTTCAATTAGTGACCGTGCTAGCTGATGGTTCTTTGTGAGGTTGTTCTAAAGCGTTAACTACTCAGAAATGGATTGGCATAGAATCTAGTATTTCAGATTGAAATAGAATTACTTTCCAAGAATTTTGATATATCTATGTACCAGAACATCTAAGAAATATTTGATTTATCCCAACCATGTTCCTCTGACGCACAAAATTATCCCCCAAATAGTAGCTACTGCTCGACTTACAACAGCTCATTTAGTGACAACAGCAGTGAAAAAAGGGACTTAAGACCGTTTTCCACACTTATGACCGTTGCAGCATCCCCATGGTCACATGATCAAAACTCAAAGACACTTGGTAACTGGTCCATATTTATAACGGTTGCAAAGTCCCAGGGAATCCCGTTATCCCCATTTGTGACCTTCTAACATGCCAAGTCAAAGGGGAAGCCAGATTCACTTAACAACCGTGGGACTGTGGCAGGAAAGGTCGTAAAATGGAAATGAAACTCACTTAACGCCTTGCTTCGCAACAGAAATTTGAGGCTCAATCATGGCCGTAAACCGAAGAAGACCGATAAATCTACTCTGCATTTCAAGCCTTTTTACCTGCCTGAGTTGAGTTAGGTCGGACTTGTTCCCGACCAGAACGACGGGAGTCTCATCCGTACGCCGGACACGGTAGATGAGCTGTTTAAACTCCCGGACTTCGTGAAAACTTCGGCGATCCGTGATGGAGTAACAGATAATAAACCCCTCGCCGGCTCGCATGTACTGATCTCTCATAGCAGTGAACTCGGCCTGTGGGAAGGGGGAAAAAAACGGGGGTTTTGGGTAGCCGGCCAGAGAGATTTCAGCAAGCTTCTCTCTGCAAGTTTTTGGAGGCTGGAAAAGTGCAGGAAACAGCTGGGCTTCCAGAATATTCTGGAAGGCTGTTTTTGCGAGTTTAAAAAAGTACCATGTAATGACGGTTAGTGACAAAGCAAGCAGTCGAGCCCCCAGTTCAATTCTGACCTCCACCACTAAGAAATTATTTTCGGTTGTCTAAACAAAGAATGCAAACTATGACATGCAGAAGTGCTGAGAAATCACTAAATCCGTGTGTGTGTGTGAGAGAGAGGAGAGAGGAGAGAGAGAGAGAGGCATAACAGGAAAAGCTACATGGTTATCAAATACCTGGCCTGCAGTGTCCAAAATATCCAGATTAGCAGGTTCGTCGTCAATCCGGATCCGCATTTTGTAAGCATCCTCTACAGGGAGACACGCAATCAGAAAAAGCCACAGAAAATTTTCCATTATACACATAATAGACATTCAGCATTAATGAATTGGGGGAAGCGGGGGGGGGGGGGCAGAGGTGTTTGGGGCATTGTCCAAATATTATTTCCCTGACCGCATCAACAGGAACACTGTGGGTGCCTGGATTAGCAACGGATTCAGCTAAAACCGAGACGACCAGCAAGAGAAGAGATGAGCTGGGGGCAGTCAAGAGAGGACTTGGCCTAGAATCCTTACGTGTCCACAAATGCTCAAGATCCGACCTCTCTTGAATTCCTTTAACTGTTATCTAGCATCTCTCTCCCCCCCCTCTATCTATCTATCTATCTATCTATCTATCTATCTATCTATCTATCTATCTATC